ACCAGTATCCTTAAAAAAAGTTTACTTACACTGGATATCTGGGCAAAGCAGCTGCTAAATTTTTCAATTAACCATAGATTTTAGTATCTTGGTGTTATATTGGGGCTATATTGTAGACGCTACCACGAGCATTTTATTCTCACTTTAGTGTGTTGTTTTGTTATTTATGTAAACCTTTTTTAAGGATACTGGTTATCCACAAAAATTGAAGTTTTGATTTGAAAAAATCATTGTATTTATGTTTGTCAACAGCGTCTCAATAAGAGCGTTCAAGGGTTAGCTATTGTCCATTCTCTTTTAATTTTTCTGTTGAAAAAATGCATGAAAAACGTCGGTAACTACTTGCAAAGTCCATATTGAGACCTCGATATCTGTTTTTGTTGGATTAAATAATAATATTTGCTATTAAATAAGAAAAATATTGAAAGGAGCGACCATTGTTGGGCTAGGGGATGAATACTGCATAACAATGTAAAGATCCAATATTTTACACGCCCCTAAAATGAAACAACTGGCGTCAATTTCAATGATTTTCGAAAAATATAGTGCCTTAGTGAATATAACCGGCGAACTGACACTGTGACTGCCTCCCTCCAAACCACTTGGTTTAAAGAAAATCCCAAGCAAAAAAGTTTACAACTTTAAAGTCAATTATGGAGAGATTTTATCGGTACACCATACTAATTTTGGCATTCAATTATAAATAATCGAATTGCTTCGACAATAAGTGGCTAATGCTGGTAGCTTAGGACCCAGGATATAGAGGATATGTTGTATATAGACTTATGTGACTTAATGATGAGTGAATAAATAAAATTTATAAAGCGGATAAGATTTCTAATGTTTGCTTGCATTGATCCTGAAGGTCCGGATCTGAGCTAGTCGAATTGGAGATGATAAGCTTAAGAAGCAAAGATATTTCTTCAAGTAATTCTTCTGTGCTTGCAGAAGAGAAGATAGAGGGTATTGCCTGGTGGCATTTAATGATACCTATTGCTCCAACTTTGTGGAAGGAAGAGGAGCAATTTAAGGAGAGCCAGGATCGGCACCACTCCAAAAGCTGAATTCCGGTGGCAAAATCTGAACCCAGAAGCAAGAAGATGAGTCGGTCTGCTGATTCACGAACAGCGATAGACGGGTCTTGGAGATGAAGCAAAAGTGACTTTAGAACAACTGCTTCTTTGATCGCAGTAATCTGCTCTGGAAAATCTCCAATATCTTTAGAAAAAATGGAGATCAGGAGCTCGAAGATGACTACCCTAGATTCTTCCCATGAATGGTCCATTTGTGCAATAAGGTTTTTCAGCCAGAAGGAAAACCGCCCCTCAGAAAGAGGGTAGGAGGAAAGGAAACTAAGAAGTGTATCTCGCGCTGATGTCCGGATGCCATCATTAGATGCGTGCAACATACGCTCAAAGAGAGAATCAGCCAAGTCATATGCTTCCACAATTGCCAAACGCCTGCAAGCATAGAAGCGCCGAAGGAAAGGGCCGACCCCTGCAGTGCAGATCTCGCTCTGTAACATACGTGAAAATAGATCGCGATCGGTAAAGCGAGGTGAAGAGATTATCGAACGAAGGAGACCGTCGCTCAGAAGTTTACGATCACCTACGGCTCCTGCAAGCAGAGAAAAAGCGGCGGAGATGAGAGCAGTGGAAGAAATATCTTCTGGACGCTCCTTAACTATAAGCTTGACTGCCCTAGAAACAGCATGAGACATCAATTTATCCCCGTTTGCACTAAGGTCTTGACGATTGCGACGCCAACGCGCGTGAATACGAGTAAGTAGCCGCATACTTTCCGCAATAACAGCGTCATCATGGGATACGCTTCCATTGGAATCTCTTTCAAGGATAAGCGAGAGAAGAACAGGCCCAAGTACATCAATTGTATATCTGCTGGGGGTAGTCTCTTTTGGGGATATTGTTGCCGTGTCTAATACTTCATCGGTAGCATTTAAAAATGTCTTTGGGAGCGTCAAAGGTAGTACATCATCAGCAAGTGAAGAGATAAGTGAAAGACCAAAGCGTCCAATGATCAGGTCAATTGAGGTCTTATCTGGCGCATCCTGCTCTTTGGGAAGAAGGCGGAGCAGAGCCAAATATGCATGCTGCACTAAAGCCAAAACCAGGGCCCCCCCTGTTCCTTCTTGGAGGCGCTTTTCTTCCGTAAGCGAAGGATGAGTCCTGAGGACGCTTCCAATGCGACTCAATATTGCCCTTGCTATAGATGGTAATTCGGAATTGTCCTTATCACGATTTGCCAGCATTTTATAGAGCATAGGTAAAAGCTCATTGAGAACTTGCGAAATAGGAAGCAACCGGGCTAGAGTACCAAAAGCACGAGGGGCACGCTGCTGACGTACCTCAACAGCCTTTTGGGCCCACTGCTCAGTGGCCTTTTCACGCGCAAGAGTCCCAGAAGAGGCCTCTACAAAAAGATATACCAGTCTAGCCACAGCTTGCGGTTCAATGTCAGAAGTAGGGGTTGCATTTGTTGTTGCAGCATGTTCCAATAATTCTGCCATCGTAAAGCTGCTTACGTGCTTTAAGAAACCACCGTGTTCATCATTCCGGGTGCGACGACCAACACAGGCGTTCTTCTCATCAAACTCATTTACAAAACGCTCAGCAGAGGTAGGCATGATAATAGTATGCACGAGTCTTGTGATCAGAGGAAGTGAGATGGAAAGGGGCCAGGAGACAAGAGCTTCTCGCAAAATTTGACGACACTGCTCACGATGTGAGAATTCTCTATTCCTGAGACCTGAGATAAGGGTTGGCCCAAGAAGACCATCCTTGAGGGTTTCGCCAGCCAAGGCTAGAAATCGTAAGGACAGGGAAGCAAGCTTGGGTCGGAGGGCTTCCGGAGATCCCATAGAAAATGGAATAATCCGATCCCTGACCAGGGGAGCCATTTTGGTGACTTCTTCACCCCATCTAGCATCATTGTGCATTCCAGGATCTGCAATTAACTGACATAGGGCATCCAAGAACGCAACAAGTAAGCGCTCAACAAGTCTCGGGGTGGCAGAAAGGGCCTCCGTAGGAGGAAACCACCACCACAAAGACTGCTTCAATGATGGATGGCCATTTGTTGAAGATAATGCGGCAATCAATGCAAGTAGAATTTTACGCGGCAAGCGATAATTATGACCATGCCCTCCTTGAGTTATCATACTCATGGCACAGGTAACCCAAAGGTTTAGAGCGGCCTCCTGGACACTTGAATAAGCGGATATCCCTGAACGCTTACGAGCTTCTGGGACGAGCGAAATATTAGCTAAAGGCCAGAGCCATTCTTCGATGAGTGCAGAGTGTGATGTATTGCATGGATCGATGCCTTTTGCAATTACCAAAGATTTTTTCAAATACTTTTGGAGGCGTTCGAGCGCCTTTTGACGAACCGGAAATTGGGCTTCACCTAAACTAGCCAACATAGCCTCGGAAAGAGTAGGCTGAGGAGTCAAGAGACCAGATGCAAGGTCAGTAGGAGATATCTCTGATCTGATATTGGGATTCATGAAATACCAAAGGGCTTTGGTTGCCGGTGAAAGTCGAGTTGCGAGTGAAAAAGGAATAACCCCAAGAAATCTCGAAAGAAAAGAGAGCAAATCAGAACGAAGCGAAAGGTGATGACGAGATTCTTCTTTTACAATGGTAGACTGGAGCCAGAAAAATAAAATGTTGCATATGGTGAGGGTCGCTTCTGATGAATTCTGATCTGAAGCCCGAGACACAGAGTAGTCATTTATCATGCAATCTTCGTTGGTTTTCGAATGGAGCTCTTCATCAATACGCTCAATTGTGGATTCATTGTCCCGAGGGCTCGACTTACTATCATATACCCAATGCTTAACGGCACGAAAAGCAATCTCTTCCACTTTAGATATTACTGGACGAGCAATAAAGAGATCAGAGGCAGCTTCAGCAATCTTGGAAAGTGATTCGCTAAGAATAGCTGCGTCTGAGAGCCACCAGCAACTTTTCAATTCTAAAGGGATACTTTCTTCAGGAGAACTTGAGACAAAGAGTGCCACTAGCTTTATTTTTGAGCCGACTGAAAGCGAGGTTGAGGTTAGTGTTTTTTCAAAAGGCGAAGATAAGCCTAAAACAGGCTTGCTACAAGGAGATGAAACAGCGAGGACAATCTTGGACAGAAGACGTGAACCAAGAACATCGAGCGCAAGAGGAATCCAGGACATTGGGCCCTTTTTTTGTTGCCTATTCATTATCATCGTTTTCATAATTTTCATATCTGAAATTGAAGAAAGTTCCATAAGAAGAAGGTTTCTGATTTGATCGGAAAAGGTTTCCTCTTTTTCCCTTATTGAAAATGGAAGAAGAGCAGCTGCTCTGAAAATTGTATCAAATATACGTTTACGGTGGGTTGAAAATAGAAGTGTAAGAGCATTCAAAATTCGATCTAGGAGACCGCTCTCAAATATGACATTAAAGCGTTCAGGCGATTTTTGGTCACTCTGAATCTCAGAGCTTATGATTAGTTGTTCATAATGGGGTTCACCATCTGCATCCAGCTTTTCGTACTCGTAATTTTTTTGCGAAAGAAGCGGAATAACAACCTGCGTAAAAATTGAAGTTAACTGGGTATCCGAAGCTTGAGTTAAATAAGGAAGCCTAATGTCAAGCCAATCTTGAGCAAGCGCATTCGGGACCAAAGACGATGCGACCTCGACACCGAAAAGAAACGATTTTTCTATGTTATTACCGCTGATATTTTTCGTCATCAATTGGATAAGAGGCGGAAACTCCAGGATAGTATCTTCGTGACTCCGAAGCTTTAAAAGTCTTGAAAGAAGTGTGATAGCTCTTGAAACAAGGCCTTTCTTTTTTTCTGAATTTTGGCGAAAAGAAGGAACTTTATGTGGATCGATTTCCTGTTCATTGGATAAATGATCATCATTTTGATCATTTTCATTTGAAGAAACATCTATGTCAACTCTAGCATTGGATATGACAAACGTATCCGCCGAATCTTCTTCTTCGTCTTCTTCATTTCCAATGAGCTTGGAGTTTGGACAAGTTTCATTTCTTTGCTTGAAGTCAATTATACCAAGAAGAGTTGTGCTAATATCATATACCAATTGCAATGGAATTGCATGCGATGCTTGTGAAAGAAGCTCTTCAATGATATTATAAAATCCAATAACGTGGCTTGCCTTCGGAAAGGAGGCGGGCGACTTTTTTTCCTTTGTACCACAAAGGAAATTGGCTATTGTGGCACTTGCACGCTGAAAAAGCAGAAACCAAAATGGATCTGATGGCAAATAGGAAACAATTGCAGAAATAATTTTACGTCTATTAGATGCCTGTAAAGACGAGCAGAGACGAGATGACATGGAGATTCGTCCAAAAACAAAGGAAATTAAAGCACGTGCAGCAAGATCCTTTTGAGTGGCCATTTTTTGGTAGTTCTGAAATAAGCGAGAGACACTCTCAGTCCAGTCGATTTCTTTAACACCAGAGGAGAGTAAATCTCTAAGCTCGCCAAACGTGGTAAGAAGGGCGGGGTGTCGTTTAACGAGAAGCCCAAGTGCATTAACCTGGAGAGATGCATCTGGAAATGAAAGCGCTTTGTCGATCAAMACGCCTGTGAGGATATCAGTTTCAACGTTTCTTACCGATTTTTGATGCTCCTGAGACATCAGAGTCATTACTTTAAGKATAGGTACACACAAAGATTTTAAAGAATCTGTAGAAAGATCTCCTGTCAAGCCAGATATTGATTTAAAGCAGTTATTATCCCAGCATTCTAAAAAGAGATTTTCAAGAAGTATAGCTGGGCCTTCATTTGCTTTTGCCTTCATTAAGTGGTTAACGCAAGACTCTTTCATAAGAAGATTAAGGAGCAACGTTAAAGGTACCAGTATGCGAGCTGTTGAATTTCTTTGATCTTGGTCTGAAGAAATACATGAAATCTCCTGGGCACTCGCACACACTTGTTGAAATGAAGAACCCCATATGTTCCAAGCTGATTCAGGAGAAAGGAATGATAGGACTTTTCGACCAAGTGGAAGGAGTCCTTCTTGGAACGGACGAAGAGGTGTCCAAAGCAGGGAGCCAATTATCATGCACAATAAAAGTTCTGGATTGAGTGAATTTAGTGATACAATTCTTTCAATGCCCAAAAGCTTCTGGCGACATGTTGTCAGCGTTATTGGGAGCGAAAACGCCTCCATAAGAGTGATAGGGATTTCAAGCATTTTCCCGATGGATTGGATAGCTAAAGCTCGAATACCATCATCCTTACATCTTGCAAGGCCACCAAAAGTGAGAAGCGTTTTGTAATCATTTTTAGTTGATGAAAAATTGCTTCCCAAAATTGGAGATCGAAGGAATGAATCAAGCAGTGTCAACATAACTTTTTCTTTAGAAAACATACTCTTTGAATGGAGGTGAAGTGTATCAATCAAAATAGGAGTAGTCAATAAATTGAATTCAGCAAAATGTGAAGCTAATCTAAGCAGTTGAATGGATCCAGATTTTGATAGCAAATCCTTGATTTGAGCAGCATGATGTAAGAAGTATCCCTCAAAAGAGAGTAGAGTAGGATCAGAACTTTCCAAAAGCGAGATTAAAGTTTCCTGATCCTCTTCAATTGCAGTAGGATGCAATATTCTGGAGCCAATTGTTTCGATAAGCCCTTTTTTTAGCGACAAAGACATCTTCAATGCAGACAAAAAAGGTTCTCTATCTTTTCCAAGAATGACCGTTTTTGTCCAGCATAAAGAAGTCTCTTTTTTCAGCTCTTTGGAAAGGTATTCTGAAAGAATATCGACCAATGGAGATGATGAATCAGACGAAAATGACAGCGGGAGTGATGAAGCCGAATGCAATGACGACATTGATGCAAAAAACTTTTTCCAAAAAGATTCTTTATCATCTGATGATGGTGAAGGTAGAAAAGGCAATATCAATTCTATTTGAAAACTTTGAGGAAGGAAATTTCCAAGGAGTTCTGGAATGGTGTCATCAAACGGATAGTCTTTATGGGCTTGAAGTGAGTAGACCAATATGTCTAAAACGTTGCTTCTAACATCGCTTGAAGCGTGTAGTGCTGCTGGGAGCAGTGGAATAAGAATTCGCAAAGCGTCATCAAGAACCTCCAAATCACCACCATCTAATTTCAATTGAGAAATTAGACCTTTCAAATAAAGAAACAATCGGCAAATATCGACGCACTCTTTTCTATCGGGGAACAGGGTCAAAACAACGCGATATTGGGATTGGGGAATCGAAGATAGCCCAAGGAACCAGCAAAATAACAATGAAAGTGATTTAAGAGCCGTCTTTGTAGGCATCCTAATACTTTCATATGAAGAGAATACAACCGGTTTTGCTGGAAACGGAAGCTCGGGGAATAACTGGGCAATCATTATGAGAGCTCCTACAATAATACTCTCATCTTCAAAAGGAAGGAAATTTTTATCCCCCAAAAAAGAAGCAGATGAATACGAAACAGCCTCAAAGAGAAGCGCAATTGAAGTGATTCTTATGGGCAATGAATTTGGGTCTTTAGACAAGTTGCAAAGAAATGCAAAAATCTTCTTTAATAAAACGTCATCTCTTGATCCATTCAAAGAAAAGCGAGTAAGGATTACCAAAACTTGAAGGTATTTTTCCAAGACATGATTTGCTTCATTTAGGGTTGCAGATTTGACCTGAGGCGCTTTTGATTTGCATAGCGTTCTAAGCGAAATGGTATCAATGATAGAGTCAAAGAGCCGAAAAATAGAATTCTTCCCCAAAGTTAAAAAATCAAAGTCAAGACACAAAGAAGAAATGCATTCAAGTGCTACCAAAATTAAGTCCTGATGTTCGTTTTGCATGGCGGTGGATACCAATCGCACGATTTTCTTTTTGTTATGAACGATCATTGGCAAAGAAATAAGAAGCGGTTCTATTTCACTCAGCCACTCATTGACAACTGCAGAAGCACCCACTTGTGCAGATAACATTTCAATGTTCCAACGGAGATGGGAAAACATCGCGCCTTTTGATGTTTGAGGGTCAATATATTGGGTTAGCTTGGGATTCAATACAGATAAAATATCAAACTGCTCCATAATCTTTCGCTTTTTGTAAAATTTATGCGCCTTTTCGTGTCGAAACAATGTGAGCTCATCGATACTCGCACTATTTTCATGGTTAAAGTCCATAAAATAAAATTAAAAAAAATTAAATTAAACTTTTAAATGGACCCAACAAGGTTGGCCCCTAGTTGCGTACACATTTCGTCTCCCATTGCGCCTGCGTCATCGACTCGGTTGAAGATAAATGGATATATAGACAATTTAAATTCGATTATATCTTGCATCTCAGCACTTGATCTTGAGCTACTGCTATTAACAAACGATAAAATGGCCATTCTTATTTCTGAGCTCACATCTTCATTGTGGAACAATGCCGCGTTTCTGCATGATTTGTTGATGCGATTTTTCAATGTTAATGAAAATAGACCCGTTTCTTTCTTACATAAAAAAACAGTCGAAACTTTGAGCCTCTCTTTGGAGGGCTTGTCGCCCATTGATGACCCCAAGGAGAGCAAGATCCCTGTTTTGGAGCTTTATTCAACACTCCTTGAAAAAATCGATTTTTTACTGGATTCTAGTCTTATTTATAAAGAGAATTTTTTGTCCTCCTGTAGGTCTCCCAAGGAAACTGCCCAAATAATACAACTTGGTGATGGAGGCATTGCCCTTGGTGCTTCTTTTGATCAGGCCGTCCCGAGATCGCAACTAACTTTTTATGATGCTCCATGTGATAACTCTCGAGAAGCAAAATTTTCCCCTCGTCTTGAATCCATCCAATTGGGTGCCCCGTTTTCTAAGCAAATTGAGTCTTTGTTGAGCGCAGGCGAGCCATTAGCAAAATTGGTTTCGGTGGCTCATAACTTTATCTCTATCGCCTCGGATTCGCTTAAAAATCCTAGCTATGAACGGATGGAAAAAAGACCTTTAATGATCATCGACACTGCATCTCAATTGGAAAATTTGGTGAAAATCCTTGATCAAAATTCGGTATTTGCCATTGATGTTGAATACCACTCTTTGCGATCATTTAGGGGCTTTTCGTGCTTGATACAAATAAGCACACCAGATGAAGACATCATAATTGATGCTCTGGCTTTAAGGGAGCACTTGTTCCTATTAAACACCCCATTTGGGGATCCATCAAAGCTAAAAATTTTCCACGGATGTCGTCAAGACTTGCTTTGGCTTCAAAAGGATTTCTCGATATTTGTTGCAGGAATTTTTGACACATTTGTTGCCACAACTGCGGTTTTGTCCCTATCATTGCCATCTTTTTCATTGGCCTCGCTTGTGAGTACCTTTTGCTCGACAGAAGATTCTAAGCTAGAAATGGACAAGGAGCTTCAACTTGCAGATTGGAGGATCCGTCCCCTTTCGCAACAAATGCTCAGATACGCTAGGGCTGATACCTATTTCCTTTTGTCTCTTTTTGTCAATTTTATTGCAACCACAGCTTCTGACCCAACAGCCATCAAAGGATGGATTGAATGGAGCATTCGTGAAAGCTCCTCCCTAGCTCTAATCCGCTATTCACCGGAAGAAAAAAAATCTTCTTTTGAAAGCGATCGACAAGAAGCATTGGTTAGTGCTCAAAAATCGTTAAATATACCCCTATCTGCCCCTTCGATTAGAGCATTTAATGCTCTTTGGGCATGGAGAGACACTATGGCAAGAGCCGAAGACGAATCACCTAGATATGTGCTTCCAAATTTTATGCTCATTAAAATTGCCCAAAGGGTCCCGTCAGATTCGCAATCTGTTTTGAGTTGCTGCAACCCGGTTCCCCCTCTTGTTCGACAGCATTCTTCAGATATCGCATTTTTAATTTGGAAAGCCGCATCGTCTATAGAAACCATTATACCTGTTTCGCAACCAACTTTGGTAAGCGAGCTTGTTAATGAAGGCAACGGCATCTATAGTGTGTTTCCAACGGAATATCAAGTCCTTATCAGTGAAAATCTAGATCAACTCAGAAAAGAGACCGATGTTCCATCCTCTCTAATGGCTAATATACTTTCACCATGCAATTCTGTTAGTGCTAACGAGGAAATTGTTTCAAAAATAACTAAAATCAAAGAGACATTTTCTCTTGCGCCGTGGGAATTGATCGAAGACGAGAATAATCAAGAAAACGGTCCACAAAAGTCGGACATCGATAATATGTTGGTATCTGTAAATATGGATCTAGCAAATTCGTTAGAAGATTTAAGTGAAGACATCACATTAAAAAAGAAAAAACGCAAGAAAAGCAAAAAACCAGACACCTTGGAATTTATTTCTAGTGCCGTTGAGCCACAAACTGATGCTAACTCACTGCCTTTTATAGAGAATAACGAACTTACACCTATTCCTACTTCTTTGGCATCAAAATCCTTTTCATTCCAGAATGGTGAATGTTTGAAACGAAAGTCTCGCCAATCCGACGCTATTGAAGCCCCCATTGGCTATGTATCTCAGAGGAAAAATAGAAAACAAGTCAAGGGAGTTTCCCAATCCTTTTTAAATTAACACTTAATAAATTTGCCAAGTATTGAGAATTTTTTTATGGATGACCACCTTATGCTGTAGGCCTTGCACCGTATTTTTACCTAGATCAACTCCAGAAACATTAACATTCCATTTTTTAATTCCAACTTTGCAAACATTGTAGCAAAGGCTTTGGATGTCGATCCAGAGCCGAAGCCCGATCTCATCCAAAGGAAGATCTTCTCTTGTGAACAAAATATTCACATGTAACTTTGATATCAAATTGCTAACAGATAGTGAATTTATATCCAAAGATACAAGAATGCTTCGAGTTGCTGTAGGATCTATTTTAGAGATCCTTTTATTGGCTGCTGAAACGATACACGAGTTCGGGCATGATGATGGGTCTTTATTGGCTTAAATAAATCTATAATTTTCCTTGTTCTGTTTCGTAATTTTTAACCCCGACATCCAAATCTGCCTTTCCCGCGATAGGATGTTCCTGCTCTTTCGAATCTTCGACCGTCTCTTGGGCTTGAGAAAGGTTAAAGGCATTCGCCCCCCGAGGAATACTGGGAATAATATTAGCCTATGAGACTAGTTGGGCATAACCTGTACCTTTCCTAAAAGCCACGCAACTCGAAATGTAGGCTGCGCGCCTCTTCCTAGCCAATACTTGATACGGTCAAAATTGAGATATATCCGCTTAGACATATCGGCAGAATCTGGGATCGGCTCATACTTGCCCAAGTTCTCGATGAACTTGGAATCTCTTCGTCGATATGATTGGGCAACATTAATAAAAAACTCTGGAGAGTTCTTTGTCCCACCACGAGAAAGCCTCAGTTTCAACAAATGGCCTTTAGGTGGGATGGGAGGTTTGACCATTTAATTGTTTTAAATAAATTAAATTTTTAATGTCGGCAGAATTCTATGGCATTTTGGGAATACCAGCAAAGTCTCCCGTTTCCATTGTCCAAAAAGCATACAAACAGGCCGCTTTACGCCTACACCCGGATAAGAATCGAAGCAACCCTAATGCTACAGAGAGATTTCATGCGATTGCGGAGGCATATGCTGTACTTTCAGATCCTGCTGCAAAAGCTGCGTATGACGAAAAAATAGCCCTAGAAGAGGCGCGCCTAGCTAGACTGGCGCAAATGGATGAAAGACGAAGGGGTCTTCGCGAGTCTTTGTTGGCTCGTGAAAAACAAGCCGCTTCTTTTGCTGCAAATTTCAGAGAAAAGCCCGGGGAGGCTGAGCGGATGGCCGCTGCCAAGTTTCAAATGGAGCTTGAACGTGTCAGGAGGAAGCAATATAGAACCCAATCTGCCTTTAAACCGGACACTTCAACGGACGATCATGAAGCTGAAGATGTCTGCACTGTACATATTTTACCGCAAAGAAAACCGAACAGGATTATCATGCCATTTGTTGATGAATGCAAAGGTCTTTCTCTTGACGAGTATGAAGCTGTCACTTTTCAGAGGTTTAGGGCTCCATAATGGCCTCTTAAAACTGCATTTGTTATTTTATTAAAAATTCTTTCTGATATTTGCAATAATTTACCATTAGGTTATTTATTAAATTAAAATGGCGGTAGCAAGCCTACATGTTGTAAAGAAAATATACTTTCTGGCATGGCCCATTCACATGTAGCCTTAAAATGTTCAAGTAAATTTTATTTTATTTTAATCTGCGGATGTCTACTTTGTATGTTGTTTCTTCTAAAATTCTCGATCTTTTAGCACAGGTAGAAACTTACAGTCTTGCCTCAGAACCTATGAATGAGCAGGTTAATTATATTATCGTTGATGTCAATGAAAGTATTGTGGAGCTAGATGAAATCATCAAGGTGGCATTTGCTGATTTGCGGGCAAGATACGCTGCTCGATTTCCTGAATTGGAGACAGTTAACATTTCTCTTTTGGAATATGCACGGTGTGTTATATTAATTGGAGATTCTCCCACTTTATCGAACATTAATTTTTCTTCCCTAATGCTTTCACCTTCTGCCATTATGATTTTGTCAATGTGCTCAACAACAACAACCGGAAAGGCAATTGACAAAGCTTCATTGGATCGCTCCATTTACATTGCAAATTTTATCATCTCAGCGCTCGATGCAAAGTCCAAGGTAATATTTTCGAACTCTTAATTGTGTAGCTGCTGAATTTCATTGAAAGACAGATGTCCATAATAGCGCCATCGCTTTCGGCAATTATCGGTAGCTCCGTGGCGGCCCAATTAATCGGAGCATCTGGCGGGTTGAGATCATTGAGTACAATGCCCTCTGGGAATATTCAGGTGCATTATAAGCTAGTAACAACTAGGTTCTTGGATCAGCAATGCAGGCTTCTAAGCTTGGGATTGGAGGTGATCTTGCTGGATTTTCCAAGTCCTCCTCTATGCATTCTGGATTTATTTCTCAATGCGATATTCTCAGAAACATCAATCAAAGCGAATATAAGATACGAGCAATTAGATTGGTATCTGGAAAGTGCGCTCTTGCTGCTCGATATGATGCCGATCATTTGCGAGAAAACCTATCAATCAATCGAAAGCTACATCCCCAGGCGTCATCGAAATATGGCGTTTCATTGCGGGCTGAGATTGAAAAGAAAATTGAAAAGATGTTGGAACCGCCTCCCATTCAAAAGCCTAAGCCACTTGCTGCCCCAAAAGAGCATGCTAAACAAAGAAGAGGAGGAAAACGTGTCAAAAAACAGAGAGAGAGCGTTGCTATTACAGAAATGCGTCGCCTACAGAACCGAATGACTTTTGGTACGATTGCCGAAGATGAGATTATCTATGGAGACGAGACGATTGGACTGGGTCAGGTTAAGATGGGGGATAATCGTGAGGGCATTATCGATGCGTATTCCAAAATTGCCGCTCCAAAGGCTAATAATAAGGCAAGGGAAGCCCTCCTCAAGAAAGGCCGTGAAGTAACCTCCAAATTTTCATTTACATCTGGTATTATATCTTCCCTCTCCATTAGCAATGGTCAGGGAATTCAGCTTCAAAACCCAGAAAAACCTGCCCACTCCTCCAACAGCGTTCTGAAAGGAATATTAACTTCTACAAAACTGTATAGTACCAAATAAATTATAAAGTAAATGTTAGCAGAGGCCCTCAAAAAAGATCTTTAAACCGTGCCATTGTGCAAATATATACATACACAGCTGCGAGCTTGGATTGTATTGAATTCCTCTCATCACCCCTGTAGCAATAAAAATGACGATCCAGAATTAAAGCTTTAATAATTTAATTGTTTCCTGGGCTCGTTGCCTGGCGTTGGCTTCCCCAACAAGCAATATCTGTTGCACGATTTTTTCATCACATCTTAAGAGCTCTATTTTCGCTTTAATAGGCTGCAGTGTTGATATAATAGAATCTGTCAGTGATTTTTTAAATTCTTGAATCGATGCAAACTTGGTAATATCAGAATGAGATCCATTAACCGCGCTATAAATGGTAATCAAGTTTGACATTGCAGGTGACATTTCTTTGAGCGGAATATCAAACCTTGGGTTTGATTCCGTAAGCGCACTCTTAATTTTCGAGTAAATAACATTGTGGTCATCGTCAATGTTAATGCGAGAAAAATCATCAGGGTCGGATTTGCTCATTTTCTTATTTGGGTTGTTCAAACTCATCACCCTGCCACCCTTTTCTTTTGGAGTTATAAGCGGTTGTGGGATCGGAAACTCCCGCATGGACCTTGACTGCTGAAGCTTTTTGGCCAAAAATTTACATAATTCAAGATGTTGCATTTGGTCTTCTCCGATAGGAACATGGGTAGATCTTGAGAGAATAGCTCAAGTTAGTTACCTGTACAACAGAATGTCTGCAGCTTGCAAAATTGGATATGTGAGAATCCCAGCTGATACAGAACCTGTCCCATTCGGATGCACTTTTCGTCGTTCCTATTATTAGATTAATGAGGGGGGAGGGGCTACTTTGTACTGTGTCATCCTTTCCAATCTTCCAAGCGAAGTCAAACATGATAAAACCCAAGCTAATAAGGTATGCTCTGGGATCTAAAGGGCATTAAACAAATATAAAAGACGCACCTGGCTTTGTCTAAAAAGAGAAAAAGGAAATTCCCTTGGATCCAATCCACAGGCAATCAATTGAATGGCAGCAGAAATGTTATTTTCACTTGAGATTGTCCATGACGTGGAGGTTAGAGCATGCAAGTCAGCCAAAGAAAAATATATATTATGAGCTTGTTGCGGGCATTTATTTTCGCCATTTAAAGTGAATTTTGATGAAATTAATGAAACCCAAGGGCGAATAGCACCGAGATAGTTTCCTAAATGTAGTCTTCCAGTGGGCTGGATTGCCGAAAAGAGAATCATAAGATAGTATGTAGATTTGTCTAATTATATTTAATTAAATATATTATTAATTCTAACTGGAAAATTGTTTCCATCCGCATTGGTCTAGTGGCTAGGATTTCACGCTCTCACCGTGACGGCCGGGGTTCGATTCCCCGATGCGGAAATTTTTATTTCAATCTAGTAAAGCCACCTCTCAAGTTAATATCTTTGGGTCGAAGCATTTCCTCCTCGCTGGAAACAGAACCCTTGTTGCTCCTATTCGAGTGGTAGGTAGAATACATTGAATATCCATCTAAAAGTTTAACCGCTTTTGACCTTACATACACAGAGGACAAACCCTGTCAACCCTACAAGCGTAAGGTTTAGTCGTAGCTTTTGAGGAATGTCAAGCCAACGGCTAAAGATTGGAATTCTGGAGGCTTTGCTTTGCTGGTTGAGCTGATGGTCATGTGGAAAAAATGCTTTTGAGGGGAAACTATATTGGCTCATTAAGATTTTAAAAAATGCCTTTCTTTTATTAATTAGCTGATTGCAAGTGTTAAACCTCTGTTTTCCCTCGAATCCCAGTATCTTCTGCTAGCTGGTAGTTAGCAAATGGCGTGTTTTGAAATGCTTGATATGGTAATGGTTTAGGGGAAACCACTTGCTTCCAATTGACAGGATGCGGTGTCATTATCTGGCTTTCCGGGCCGTTAGTGTTATAAGRCCTTTGAAATTGATTATAGCCCATACATTGTACATTATGAATCCCGAGAAATGGCGGCACCGAAAATATACCAGGATACACGGGTATAGGTAAATGTTGGTTAGGAGGAATATTTTCCAAATTTGACCCATAAGGAGAGTGATCTTGATGGTATAAAGAGTTCGGCGTAGTTTTGACAATCTCTTGCTGGCTTGCTGCATCGGCATTAATTTTTTCTTCTGAAGTGGGGACCTAATTTTTATATAATTTTCCGAATACCTCTTCCGACTCCGCCACGTTCAAACACTCTTGGATCATATTTTTGCCCTCTGATTTGGTAACCATCGGCTGGAATTTTGGCGTTGCGAATGTATAAATATGACCAGATTCAGATGCCACGAGCAACAAAACTTGCGTTCCGGTCAATGTACTCAACTCATAGGCCTTTTTCATGATTCCCGTTCTACGTTTTGAGAAAGTGATGTTTCTTTTGCTTCTATCCTCTATAAATTCTATTTTAATTTTTCTTCGCCCGTTTCGTTTTTCAGATCGCAAATAAGGCTCCGCATCAGAATCATCGCAATCATCTGAGGGTATTTGAAATTCCGGATTATCCCTTCGAGAGATATCTTTAGACGAATTGTCGTTGTTTTGGCTTGGCTTAATCGAACAAAATAGCTTGTTTCCATGCTGTGGTACGCCCTGTCTAAAAATTGTTTCCTTTTGAAAATATTCGGGATGCACATTATTTTTCGTCATGCAAGCCATACTAGAAAGAATAGGGTTGTTGCTGCCCATCGAAAATGGTGATGTTGCAGCAGAGGAGGCGTTCGAGTGAATAAAGGTTTCATTGCCAGTAAATGTATTTCCATTTCCTTGGATGTTTGGATCATGAAAGATGCCAAGAAATGAATTCTCAATATTTTCTGTTACGGGCGGCGTAATGACTGCCGCCTGATGTGGAACGGTTGATGTCTTTGGTATCATGCTCAGGTTAATTTTAGCAATGTATAAATAGAAATGCTTTAAGACACACTTCTCCTGAAAAGGATGGCCTGATTTGGATCGTAGATATATCTTGAAAAATTGTTGATATTTATAGAAAGGGAAATGTACGTATAGAGATCTAAAAAAGGAAACTATGCCGTGTCGTAAATGCAGAAAAATGCGAATTGCTTGTCCTTGTAATTAATTTAAATTTAAATATGAATCCAACTGATATGGCCCAATCATTTTCTTGTGATCAAAAGCCCTCTATTTAAATTGTTTCATTCAGTAATATGTACATTTCCGGTATAATGTTCAAATAATTAAATTTAAAATTTAAGAATGACAAATCTTGTCGCTCTTCCACAAGATGTCGTCAATAAAATAGCGGCTGGCGAGGTTCTTCCAGAATCATTTATAGGATAGATCATACACAGCCCCGTTCAAGTAATAAAGGAATTGCTAGAAAATTCTATCGATGCCAATTCATCTGCCATCTCTATTATTGTAAAAAACGGAGGACTATCTAGGATCAATATCACTGACGATGGCCACGGCATCTCGAAGGATGAGCTTCCAAAACTATGCCAAAGATTTAATACATCTAAAATCCGGTGCTTTGCTGACCTTCAAAAATTGGAAACCTTTGGATTCAGAGGTGAAGCGCTTGCAAGCATCAGCTACGTATCTCGTCTTTTGATAACAAGTCGATGCGAAAATAGTTCCGTTGGATATAGGTACTCAATTCGGAACATTGTAACCATCAGGGCCGAATTTTCTAATGGAAAATTAGTGGAGCATTCATTTAAGCCAATTGCTGCGAACAAGGGAACTCAATTCACCGTACCAGTGGCTTGGCATTAATTGTTAGGTGGAAGATCTTTTTTACAACTGCCTTCAAAGGAAATCTATGCTGAAGTCCCCTAATGAGGAATATTTGAAGATTGTCCGGCTTGTGCAGTTATATTCGATTGACAGGTGTGGGATATCTATCAGTTTGAAAGCCGTAAGCGAAATGTTTGCTACAATGCTAAATTAGGATACAGGGCGTAACTTTGACATTCTGACAAACTTAAATCTCTCCAAGGAGGAGAAAATCGGAAAAATTTATGGTGATCAATTGGTGCAGTCCTTGATCAAAATTGAGCAATCGTGTACTTCTCCTCCTTTGAAATATGAGATGTATTTTTCGAATCCAAATTTCCATTTGAAAAAATTGGAGTTTATTTTATTCGTCAATGGTAACAGTTTTCTTCCCATTTGTAGGCAGGCTTGTTGAAAATAAGGCACTAAAGAAGGCATTTTCCGACTTTTATGGTACCATATTGCTTAGGCACACACACCCATTTGTATATTTAAAGCTGGGTGTTGATCCCCATGATATTGATGTAAATGTGCACCCAACTAAAAGCGAGGTAAAAATACAAGATGGTGATTTTAAAGGTCCTTCTATTAAATGAGTCGGAGATAATCAAGCATCTTATGAGCGAGTTGGCCAATAAAATTTCTTCCTCGGGCCGCTCTAAAGTGTTCCAGGTGCTGAATGCATCTCAAAAACCACCTTCGTTGATGTGTGCACCGAAAAGCTCATCGATTTCTTCTAGCCCTGTTACGAAGGTTCGAACTAGCCCAGCTTCGCCATCTCTTCTCCGTTCATTTAGTCCCAAAATTCAACGAACCTCAACGTCCGGGTACTTACTAGCTAGTTTAATTCTGATAGGTCAATTTTAAGAAGACCTTCGGTTAGCTGTGAGCTGGATAGTGTCAACAGTATTCTTTGTAAAATAATCCAAAACTGTGATTTAGGTATGCACTTCCCCTATCCCCTATCCCCTATCCTTTATCCTTTATCCTTTATCCTTTATCCTCTATCCTTTATTCCTTTTACTCTGATCTTAGCGTTCAAAGAACAGGTTAAAAAAATTTGCTTTGTTGGATGTATCGATGGTCACAATTCCATTTTCCAGATCGAAACCACGCTTTATATGCTCAACCATTCGGCCTTATTGTAAGGTGAATTTGTCATTTTAGTTTTGACTATTTTTCCTTTTTTATTTTGAAAAACCTCTCTTGTTTGCCCATAATTGAACTGGAATCATCAAAATATGTTGACATTTCTGCGTTGGACAGCTGCAAATTTCGACCTTTATTGTCAAAATCGGATATTTTGGATGCAAGAGAGATGTTAGAAGATTATTTTTCATTAAGGATCACGGATGACGGACTTGTGACTGGCCTTCCAATACTTCTCCAGAATTTTCCACTTGAGTATTTTGATGCCAAATCATTCATGGTCTCTTTTATGTCATATTCTACCATTAATTGGGATGATGAAGAGGAGTGTCTTTTTTCCATTGCCAAATCTCTTTCCCATGCATTCTCAGCAGCGGTTATTTCAAGACTTACCGACACCTTGGCTTTCGATCAAATTGGAAGAGAATATTTTGAAGTGCACCTAGTCCCATTGTTACGTGACGGAAATTATTTTTATCCGTCCAAGTCTGGGATCACCACTACTTCATCCCTCAATAGGCTCGCTGACCTGAAAGAACTTTACAAAATATTTGAGAGATGCTAGCCAAAAATGTTTAGCAAATTAATTTATTAAAATTTAAAAAAAAGGCTTTTCCCTTTTTTTAGGCTGAACATTACCATTACCGCTACCACTGCCTAAGGCCACTTCGCCTGAAGAGTGAGAAATAATGGCCTTCATGATGGATATGTTTTTCCCAATCAAATCTCTTTCGGCCTTGAGCTGCTCAAAGCCTTTGTATCTGAGGTGAAGGATTGTAGGGTAAATTTCTTTGCAATGAATAAGTTGTGGAGCATGTAAAACGAGAATCAAATAAATCAGCTTCGAGCCTAATTAAATCAAAACAAAAAGACAAACCTAACAGCGCTGCTCCAAAACTATTCGGCGAGCATTCTTCTCTTTTCTTGACAAACCATTCCTCAATGATTTTGATGAAAGAAATGAGTGCCGGAAGAGGCAACATCAAAACAGCCTGCTCCAAGTCGGCCATTGGGATTTTACGGACAATTTCAAGAACGACTTTGGTACCGGGAAGCATCTTTGGTCCAAACTCCATCGTGGAGGTGGAATTCATACTTAAGGCATAAGCATGCAAAAGAGGACGCCTCTGGAAAGAAAGCCCAGATTCGCTCGAGATTGATGGCAATTGGTTTCTTAACTCTTCGAGTTCAAAATTTTCTATGGCTACAAGCGTAATGACTTCGTATAGCTTTTCCGATGATTTGATACTCTGGAGTGACTTTATCGTGGAGGGGGTGAAAAAGTTCGAATTGACTGCTTGGTCTCCACCATCAACCATATTTCCTTCAAGCGTGAGTTTGGAAAGAGCATCGCCTGAAATTGCTCCGGAATCTTCATTTAGCAAATCAGCAGCAACCCGCTCGTCTGCTTCTTTATCTCTCTCATCCTCAATGAAAATCTGCAAAAATAAAATTCATCAGCTTACTTGTTCCTCTGATCTATCCCACAGACGGCAAGATCTATCAAGACCGCCGGCAGAAAACAAAAGCTTTCCTTCAGGCGATATAGCGAGGGCGGTTACTTCGGAATGATGGCCCTTGAGCGTAGTGATATGCTCAAAAGTGTCTCCATCCCAGTATTTAATTGTTCTATCTTTTGAACTTGTTATGAGGAGATGTGTCTTTGGAATCCAAAGAATTGCTGTAAGGGCCTCTGAGTGCGCGAAAATAGACTTGTGGCAGTCGCCAAAATCTAAGCCCCAAATTTTGAAGTTTTTATCAGACGAAGCGGTAGCAATCAGATGACCATCTGTGGAAAAGTCCATGGCAGTCACAGGCAGTTTGTGTCCATATAAGGAAAGGAAGAACTTGAGGGTGTCTCTGTAGTATATCCGCACGGTGCAGTCTATCAGAGATACAGCAATAAATTTCGTATCATGCGACAAAGCAATGGATACAATGGAGTCTGAGGCTTCTTCAAGTGTTCCAATGTGAAGGAAAACGGGAGAACCTGTGTTTGACCTACCGATGCTCCAAATGTAAACAGAGGAGCTATCGCTAGTAATCATGATGTCTAGTTTGACTTTAATGCTCAAAATTGATGAGCCAGGCACTGCTGGTGGATACCTTTCGGCAATTCCATTCGTCGCCGTATTGACAATAAAAATGTTTCCGATCTTATCACCTACAACTAGCCATTCTTTGGAGAGAAGCGTGCCAGCAGTTGGCGATGCTTCGCCAAGATCCTTACCAAGTATGGTGGCTGTAGATTTTCCTACTATCGGATCCCATAATTTGACCATCTCCGAACAACTAGTGGCAAAAAGCCCAGCAGAGTACGAGATCCATCCGATTCCTGACCTGTGACCATGGCCTTCAATTGAATGTTCGATATCAAGCGATATTTTACCCTCCGGGATGTTAGCATCTTTAAAAAGCTTCCAAACCTGAAGAGAATTAGAAAACGTGGACAGCAAAATTTTCATCTCAGAGGTTCCGTTTCCAAGGGAAACGGATCGAATTTTATGCGAGGCTCGCAAATTTGTAATAAATTGGAATGTGTCAGAAAGCTCTATGAGCGACCCCTCTTTTGTGGGGTTTCTCTTTTTCCGTCTGGCGGATTTCTTCTTCAAAGCTTCGTCATCCAAGATCCGATAAAGCTCGATGCTCTTGTCAAACGAATGAACATAAAGGATAGAGCCGCTGATATCCATAGAGACGACCCTTTCTTTACTTGGAATCGATCGTTCTACTTTTCCAACGTCCTTTAAAAGGGTAGATGATGTCGATGAAAATGAAAAATTCTTTTCAATTTCAAAGATGCGGAAATGAGAGTCAATACAACCTGTAAAATAAAGCAAAAAAATAAAAGGTACCCGTTACAAGCAAATTTTGGCTGAGAAGAACTACAAAGGAGCCAATGGGATGTTCTTGAACAACAGTTTGGAAGCAATGTTGGATGGAGATATCCCAGGCCTTAATTTGGGTATCTTTGCTTGAGCTAATGAGAAGAATAGGAGAGAGGAAAGCCAGTTTAGTTATTGCAGCACTATGGCCTTTAAGTCTGGCTTGTCCAGACTCTGAAGTGGTATCCCAAATTACAATGTCCCCATCTTTAGACCCAGAGGCAAGTAGAAATGATGTGGGGTTCCAGGCCATTGAGCAGACCGGGCTCACGTGTCCCCTGAGTACTACCCTGAGGGTACCTGAAATATTCCAAATACGGATGGATCCATCACCGTACCCATCGGAATATTCTTGAAGAGAAAGG